AAGCGACCAGCTCTCTGATAACTTAAGATCCAGATGTGCAAGCTGTTTTTACTGGAAGCCAAATCATTTGCAGAGGTCTCTCCCTCTCCAAAATGAACCCACTGTTTAAACTGGTTAAAACACTACATAAAGTAGTTTTACATAAAAAATCAGTGTTTTACCAACACTGCTTGGTTCGTCATGGAGGGGCTGCTAACACCGGTGGCTGATGCGAAAATGTGCATCATCCTATCTAGAGCCAGTGTTTATTTTTTCCAACCCGGGCTACTATAGAAACATAGCGGTGCAACATGGCGATCTCTGTGGACAAGGTTCTACTCCCTATGTAGATGTAAATGGCTCATTCTAAGGTAACAAAAACACAACAACTATACACAAAAGAAAACATACTTATTATGACATATTCCAATATACCCCCCTGAATCCTACACACCTGACCTTTAACTTGATGCAGCAGCTCTGACAGACCCATAATCAGGCCTGAGAGTGTCTGTCTCAGGCTGTCCAGATAATGGCTGCCTGTCACATGATTCTCCACGGTCGTATTGCTATTATTGCTTACTATACCATTTATGTGGTCGTCTGCCAAACCTAACAAGACTTCTCCTTCAAACAGAGTGAAGTGGATTAGATTAATACAGACCCTTCTTTGGAGTAATACTGAAAATGAATACGCACAACCCTCAATACTAATGAAACCAGTTCACACAATAGTTCGAGGAATCTACTAAACTAAGCCATCTCTACTCTTCTAATCCACTAAAATACATCCATTTTGAGTTTGTCATTAAATAATTCGTAGTGTCTAATTCTTGTCTTACTTTAATATGTAAATAATAATGTATATTTGACAAAATGTCAAAACAGCAACAGCTTCTGTTATTAACGGCAGCTCTTCCTCTAGCTTATCTCCTGGTTAGAAACAGATAGCAAAACTGAATTTTTATGCACATTAATATTCCATACTGTATGTTACTGGAGTGCACCAACACTCTCTTTGAAGCATATCATGTAAACAACATGTTCCATTCACCAGAGTCCAAATAAGACCACTTCTGTAAATTCTGTTGCCAGTATGCAGAATACTAATGCATGCAAACCCCTTATGTGGTTACTGTCTTTTGCAATTTTAAATTGTCTTGAGATTGCAACAGCTTTGTTAGTAGCTGGTACTAATTGCTTATTTATTTAGGGCATATGATAGAAATTTTAAAACTTGTGCGAGTAGAGCAAGTGAGAAAATTGAATGTGAAAATATCTCAACTAAAACATAAAAAGCTAAGTACAGAACTATATCCATGCATAAAGGCACATTCAAAGATAGTATATACAGAGATGCAAACAGCATGATTAATCTGACCAAACTGTCATTTAATTAATATTTTAATATAATATTTTTGCTGGCACATGTATTAAGGACCTTAGATTATACGTGTTGATAAAGGAAATGCTTTGAAAGTGAATGGTTATAAAAAAAAATAAGATAGGTAGCTTTCTTTCATCAATTGGCCCATAACATAACCCCATCATATCTGACTGTTTTCACCCCAAGTGACCCCCTCTAAAGAGTCTTATGAAGAAAAACATGAGGAAACATATTTTCTTATAATTTTTTTCTATAATGACTGAAAGGTCATATCTGTCACCAAACAATCATTTACCCTGACAGCGTAATTTAAGCCCTATTGGTTTAACTCAACAGAAACACTTCTTATGTTTATGGCAAACCTGTTGATGTGAGGCACTCAATAAGCTGTGCCATTTTAAAAGCTATCAGCTGAGTTGATTGGAGAGATTTAAACAACTATTTAAGGGCAGCAGCTAATTAGCACTAAATCTAGATCTGATCCATTAACTGAAGCTAATCTTTAAATTACCTGTCCAAAGTGATCCATGTTAGAAAACTGTACAACTACTGGTTCGAACTTAGTCAGCTTTAGATAATGTCACAATTTAAAATCAGCAGGGAATATTTGAAATCTTACCATATAGGCCTTCCAATATGCAATTCATTTAGTCATAGAAAATCCATATGTAATTATGGTAAAAGCAAAGGCTGTGATTACTTTTGTCCAGATTAGTAATGTACTCCACATCACTCTCTTTTGCACCCCATTTGCATCGGGCAATAAAGTACAATTGCAACAAGGCCAAAAGAGACAATATATGTGCAAGTCACTGGTGAACACAAATTTTGATTCAGATGCAATCCAACTGCAGTCTGTATCTCAGCTGCTGTTTTCATTCCAGGTGCAAATGGCTCCTGGTGCAAAATCTAATATGAATCTTTCTCGCATTAAATGTGTTTGTGTGAAATCTTATCAAGACACATTCAGCTGTGTGCATCTTGTATCTGCACCATTATTTTACTGGTTTTCTACATTGCTTCCATCAGCTGTGGACAAGAGCAGTTCACTGCAGATCAGACAGGCACAATGCACATGTTGCGATGACCCACCACACGACAACTGTATCAGCTCTGCATTGTATTCATAGTCTGCACCGATAGTGTGATCTTAAATGATGCAGTCAGTTGATTGAGCTGTTACAGAGCCCGATGAAGCCTGTTGGAGAGGAAATAACCAAGACGGAGTGAGCTGTCTGTCAGCTTTACCCTCCATCAAAAAGGACATTTGGCGCCTGTTACTGAGTAGCACCTGAGCAAAAGTGAACCTCCCTCGACTCAGAGGTTGTACTGAGCGCCGTCCTCCCCTGTGATTTGCCACAGTGGGGGACGCAGGGGGAAGGTAGGGGGTGGACAATCCACAGAACTGGCAATAAATATCCTAGCTGGGGGAAACTCTTAGCAGTGTTTTTTTTCTACTGTGGAGGAGGAGGAAAGTGGCAATACATCAGCTTCAGAAAGTGGGTCAGAAATACTGTACTGTCTCCAGGTGAAACAGGAAATTACACATTTAACTGGTGTTACTTTCATGACTGTACATGTGATGTGCCTCAAATGAACTTTGGGATTTTGTGTTATTGTGAAATCCTGGTGCACGTAAGCATTCTGCTGAGAACAAATGGCAACACTGAGACAACAAGAAATGACCTCACAGTGATCAACCCAACTCCTGAAGACTGTTAACAGACAGGGACATGCTTTATTTAATGAGAATTCAGTGTGGCATAAGCTTGATTTTGGCTTACGGACCATATTATTAATCTTTTTTCCAAGTATGGATTTCCTTTAAACTGTTGAGGAGTCAAGAGGTAAGACTGCAAGACTAGTTACCATTAGCCTTTCCAATATTTTTTACAGAGACTACTCTGTGATAGACATACAATCATGTTCCATTTCCACAAAGCCCACTGAATATTACAATCAGATATATATTGCTCTTGTAGATGTTCAATTAAACCTTATCACACTGAGAATCCTTGCCATATCTTCTTTAAATGTAACCTCCATCATAAATGCTGTTAAATTCACATTCAACCTGCCCGAATATGCCCTTCATAATGGTTACGTAAGAGTTGCTGCATTTTTCTCCCATTTGAAAAAAAAATACAAAATAAAAAAAAAAGCAGAAAAACACAAGTTTGGGATGGCCATGAAATGTTTTCTCATGAAGCTGTTTACCTTCAGTTTACTCTCTTTAGACAGCGTCTACACTTTAATAAATGGTTGTCCTTTTCACTGCACTGGCGCTGGTCAAAGCATTGCTTTATGCGCTCAGGTGAGTCCTCAGAGAGCAAATAAATCTATTTGTAAGGTCTTGCTAAATAAAACCAGAGGCATGTTTTCCATTATAATGGCAACTGCCAGGATGATCTTTCTTCCTAGCGTCTAGGCTTTACTTTTACAGTTACTCCACAAATGAGCAATTATTAGCATGCAATCGGAAGGCTGATAAAATCCATTAATCAATATTCAAGACTGATACATGTGGTTATAATCATTATCTTCATCGTTATTAATAAAAGTTATTAACCATAATTATAGTGATGAAAGTGCTGGTGAAAAAGGCTTCTCAATGTTGAATGACATTCCAGAGGTGCAGATGCTCAATGTGCATCTTCTGTTAATTAAAAACTTGCCCCCTAATTATTTCTGTAATTAGAAAACACTGCATTTTCAAAAAGTGTGTGTGTGTGTGTGTGTGTGTGTGTGTGTGTGTGTGGTTTCGGTTCAAATAATGTCCAAAAATGAAAATAAATGAATGTATAAGCATATGATGTTAGTAAGGTATGTTAGAAAGCTAGATTTCGTTTCAATTTACAACTCAGGAAAGACAACAGTACACTTGCCAAAGTTCAAACTGAACAACCACAGCAACCACATCAGGACAACTACTAAATATATATTTTTACGGAATCCCAAAGAAACAGTGGCATCATAACCATGCAGGCAGAGTCCATGAGACACTGGGGTATTGATGTTAGGATGCTACAACAGTATCAGCCAGCAGGAACATGAGCAATAACAGAAAATTAATATCTAATATGAAAGGAAGAGAAATAGTCTGTAAATCATCAAATATTATGCAGTAGTTCCCCCCCCCAAAGCATTAAGTACTGAAGGGCAGCAGTAACATAAAAAGTATGAGAAGCAGGCTTGTGACCAGAAGGTCTCCAGTTTGAGTTCACAGTATGTCTGGGAAAATCTGGGTTGGGAAAGCAAATGAGAAACACTCTCCTCCCTCATCTGCCGCTGAGGTGTCCTTGAACCAGGAACAACCCCCCAGCTGCTCCAGTGGAGCTGCACAGTGGCCAAATAGAGGAAAAGCATGACTGGGTGAGGCGGGCAGCTCCCTGGTGTGAACATGTGAATCTATACATATGTGAAGCAGGTTGTAACTGAGAAAGAGCAAGCATGTTCAGCAAACCTCTCCTAGAGAAATAAAGGTTAAAAAAATGCCCAGAAAGCTTTGCAGAGAGCAGCGTTTGTTAATGCTTCCCGGGCTCTTGGGGGAGATAAAAGGGCGATCCAAACATTGTTTATTGGGAACTGTGTGCAACATAAATCATGTAGCAAGAAAATGGAGGCAATAACTCACCTTTCGCTTTGCTTTTTGTCCCAGCCACTGATAGCATGAGGGGATAAAGCAAGGAAACAGCAGGTTAGAAAGGTAGTGCAGTATGAAGGAGTAACATTGATAGCATGATGATTATTCTAGCCATAGTGACAGGAGGTCTGAGATTAAATGGTGCGAATGTAAAGATGCAAGTAGTATAGTCAGTATTTATTTACACCATACCATGTCATGACAGATCAAACATTAGAAGTTAACATCAGTACAACATTACAAAAAGACAGGAATTACATGAATACAAACCCCCCCGTTTAGTTTAGTTTAGTAAATCTTAAACATCTGCGAAACAGGTATCCATAGCTGGTAGTCCACATAATATGATTGTAGTTAATTACACACAACTTAATGCAAAAGACACAACTGATGTAGGTTATCCTGAGTCAACCTCAGAATACCTGAGTTCATGATACATGAAATTATGGACCAGGTTAACTGTAAAAATGCCTCTTTGAGGAATGAGAACAATTCGGATCTTCCAAACAACTGCATGTTCACACAGAAGAGCCACAGAAGAACCAAACTGGAGCAAAGGACCTTCCTATTGAGAGGTGTAGGGCTGTACCTGACTCACAATTACTATGTCAGTTGAATCAGATTTGGCTGTTCACTATGGATTTTCGATTCCATACAGAGTTTGGGTCGGTGGGACATTCAGGGTGACAACAACATTCACGTGATATAAAGTAAACAAGTCAAGTTAGCACTCTGAGCTAATAAATGCTAACTATGCTACTGATGGACTGGAAATGTGCAACAACATTTTTTTGCTGACACTAGATATCCAACAAAAGCCAGATTCTGTATCATATTAAGTTACTGTAAGCTGTAAATTCACCACTTCTAAGCAGAAGGCAGAAGGTAATGTGCTCTTGATGCCTGACCGGGCAAAGCCTCTCTTCCACCAGGCAGCTGCCTCCAGGTCATAATTTCACCCTGGGTCTGGGTCTGCAGCTACCTGTAGCGCAGAGCAGCATTAAAGCAAGAAGCATTCACTCTGCAGCTAACCCAGGGGATTAAAATGTCCCCAGAAGTAGGCTGCACACTGACTGAAAAAATCCATAAATAAAGACATAAATATGAAAGAGAGCTCGACTTGCAGAATCTCTGGAGGGTCTCCAACTGATAATTCAAATCTTTGACTTTCAGGGGGCAGCTGTACTGAGGTGCCAGTATTAACACATTTAACAGGTTAACTTTCACTGGACAAAACCAGTCTGCAGTTTGGTCCCATTTATATTCCACAGTGAAGATGATAAGTGAAATTTTATCATTGTGCGTTAATAAAATAAACTACAAAATACAACTTTACTTTTAAACAAATCCTTTTAATGTCTGCCTCCATATTTGCAAGTTTGTCTCGTCTTTGCTTGTATATGATTACTGCGTTGTGGGTAATAATGTTAAATCTACTTCATTTTTTGATCCAAAATACTTATTATCACCATGTAATGTTTTGGATCATGGGATATTGCAAAAGATCCAAACAATTAAGTGCTATTGTTTATTTGCAGAAAAAATTGTAAATCTTTCCTCTTACGAGCTAATCTGTGTGTCAGTGCCTGGGAAGATTTCTTCTGAATAACTTTCAACTTTCACCTTATGCGCAAATTACACGCTACTCAGGGTAACATGGCAGATTGGTAAACAATTTTCTTTCATCATCACTCAAGAGTCAGGCGCTTTGTTTGTCTCCAGCAGTTACATAAAGGATGGCACTTTGCTGTCTTTCAGGTAGAGACACTTAGTTAGGTGTAATGAGGACAGAACATTCTTACCAAAGGCTTCAGACTAGAGGAGATTAACAGCAGATTTGTCGGTAAGATTTTGAAAAGGACTCATTGCATAAACTGCAAAATCAGCACTGAATGCTAATCAGAAGTAGAACTGTGTGCCCAACATAGGAGAAAGCACCATACACCACAGAAAAGGCCCAATTCCAGACACATAAGACACCCTCCACCCAAGTCTATTGGGATAGCGATGAAAGCAATGGCTTTCTAACACAACTTGTCTAAAGAGCTGAGGCTAACTGATATTTTTTTGCTTCTGTTCACAAGAGGAAACAGGTGATCTGATTTTAAGGGAAAAAGACGTTGATACATTTTTGCATTTCTAAGTTGTAAGAGGGCACTGTTGAAAAAAATGGATTTTTAATTTTTTTGTTTTATTTCATCTGATTTTTTATGTTTAGTTTTTCTAGTACTAATAAAATATTTTAAACAGTTTGGCAAATCTGTAATTTGCCAATTTTTTTCATCCAATTTGTAAAGAATACACATTCAGAGGAGAAGCGGCCTATCATTCACTTGGCCTTTTTTTTTTGCATTTCTTTTGTTCACCCTGGATAAAGCTTCTGACAGAGCTGCAGGTGAAACATGACTGGAGGTTTCCCTTAAAATGCCTTGACCAAATCTACACTGACTGGGGGGTCAACAGTGTGCTGTTTCTTGTGGATGCAGAGGTTGACTGACAAGAGCACTTCTCAGCACCTCAAGAAATAAGCTCCTCTTGTTGTATTTACCTCTCTTCCACCTCTGGTCTAAAATGCATTGTGTTGACACATCCTGTCTATTATGGGAAATGTCTAACAGCTAACAGGCCGCTGTTCCCTTCCAGCTGGTGGTGCCGGTGAAATTGTTCACACTATGCACACCTCATTTGTTTCTGTTGTTGTCAAGAATCATTTTTGGCTTCTTACCATCTTTCTGCTGCTCAAACTTGCATCTGTATTCAACATGCTAATCAATGCTGCATTCACGTGTTTCCCCACTGCTGATATTTGAGAACTGCTAGGCATCTATTGCAACGATAATTACATGTTTGCAGAGAAGGCTATTTGAGAGGCAAGGCTGTGTGCATGTGTTTACCTATTGGTACCTTCAGTATTATGTAAGATGAAGCTCAAAGATTGTCCTGCAATCTGCCTTTTGTAGCCAACCTCCACAAGGCCAGTGTAACACATTACAGATCTTTGCATTTCTTTTACATCCAGGCCAAACGTTCAATAAAAATAGTGATCACATTGCTCATTACAATACCCATAGCTGGGGGTGGAATGAAGCCTTGTGGAAAAAAGTACTATTTCTGATTAAAAAATAGGTCAGTGTTAATCTGAAGTCCACAGAAAGGACAAAATGTTTATCTATAAAATAGGTCATTTCTTGGTGATCCTTGAAAAAGCTCTTATCCGATGAGGAAACTGGGAAGACTTTACAAGTAACGTATGCCATTTTATTATCTAATGGAAAATTCATTGTTTTTGACACTCATTAATCTTTCTGTATGCTCCCAAGCCTGCACCTCTTCCTATTTTCTCCTTACGTGGAAGTTATTAATCTCTGACTCCCTCTAAATTTAATAGTGTTGACAAAGTCAGACACCATGATAAGATTCTCCTTGCTGTGAACTGGAAATGTTTGCAAGCACATGGCAAGCATATCAATACATTCTATCTGAAAAGTATAAGGCTTTGACATTCCTAAGAGGACTTTCACTGAAAATCAATAGTGGGGCACATAACAACACACTTCTCTGTAAGAATATCAATGTATTTAACCCATTTATCATATGCTTAAATGCATGAGTGCATTTAATAAATCCAACAGTACACAGATATACTGTTGTTCATACGATTACCTGACCCGAGTGATGAGTTACAGCCTTTACTGTAATAAAATGAAAACAAGCTATGGTTATCATGTCCTTACAAACAATGTAATGAACCTAATCGCCTTTAACATTTTCTTAGAATTGCATTTTTTACTATTGCACTGTTTACACTGGAGCTGCTCCATTTTAAACAAATGGAGTATTAGTTTTACACCTCTAATTTGTTAGTAACCTTTAATGGCCTCAAATAGCCTATCTCCTACATTTTAATGACTGACTCTTAATTTTCATTTGTCTTAAACAAAGCATTTCTCAGGTATTTTGTCTAATCAACAGTAAAAAAACCAGTGACACTGACATTCACTCAGTTATATTAGCTAGGACAGGCAACATGTGGAGCACAGTTGCGAATAAACACTCCGGAACATCGTTCATCACGATGCACAGATTTTTGTAAGTAGTGAACAATTAGTACTAAATGCAAAATAAATCCTCATTACATGATTCATACAAAATGATGTAAACGTCACTGTCACTGCATAATTCCTATAAACAGGTTTCTGCATATGTTTGCAGAAGCTGAAGGCGACAGGACAAGACTTTGGTATCGGAAGTTTTCTGGTTTTCATTTGTAGTTTGATAGTAGTGGGAGTAGCACTGACCAATCTGAGCGGCAGGTAAACAGTCCATGTGAAGAGGTGGAACACATTGGCCAAAATGCAATCTTGGAACCCATCTGCTATCTTCTCACAATAAGTTAGGCTTTAATTATCTTTATTTTACGTGTATTTGTAAAGATATCTGTAAATATAGATTAACCAAAATGACTAGCGCATGGAAGAGGAAGTCTTGACTTGAATATCTGCTGGTGACACCGAATCAGCCTGAAATATTGGTCCTCTCCCCCAGAGACTTAATTGTTGTCAGACAGACTAAAAGCCAATAGATCACAGATTGGTCACTGTACTGTAGGTTATGACTGCAAAAGTCTAGTATTATGATGGTCTATTTTAGTTGTTTTTCATAGCAGCAATGACCCTGTGCCTACCAATTTTTCATGTTTACCTATAAAATTTAACAGTAAACCAAAACATGTACAGGACTGTAGTTTGATAACATTCTGTTAATTTGCTTTTTGTAAAACATCATTATTGATTAGTTAAGATGGAATGAAATTTATATTCCTTCAAACTATGTTTTATTTTCAATACTGCCACTGTCTCATTGAGATTTAAGAAATGTACCTGAAAAATAGCAATGTTGGTTCAGCAAAATAACATGAGAGCTTGCTTTCAAGATAAAATTATTCTGAAACATTACAGAGCACTAATAAGACTGAAACATACAGTACAGGCCAAAAGTTTGGACACACCTTCTCATTC